CTTCCTTCCTTCCTTCCTTCCTTCCTTCCTTCCTTCCTTCCTTCCTTTTCTTCTTTTTCCTTCCCTTTTCATTCTCCTTTCTTCTTCCTTCTCCTTCTTCCTTCCCCTCTTTCCTTTTTTTTCCCTTCCTTACTCTCTTCTCATCTTCCCATCTTTTTCTTTATCTTTCCTCTTTCCCTTTCTCCTTTCTTGTCCTTTCTTACATGCTCAAATGCAAAAGGGGAAACTTTTCTTCTTTTGTTTTGTTTTTAGTTTAGCCCTCTGCCAGTTTAGCCCTTCTGCCACTGGCAGAAGGGTGCAGGAGGCCATCATGCCCAAAACCCGGGTGTGAGGGGGCACGTGCTGCCCCCTGAGCTCCATTTTCACTGGCAGAGGCACCACAGGCTGGTCCTTTGCTGTTTCCAGGCTGGCCCCTTGGGCCAGATCTAAGCATCCCACAGGCCGGATCCAGCCCCCTGGCCTTGAGTTTGACACCCCTGAACTAGGCTGTTCTCTGAGAAAGCTCTGTGTTGTGATAACTCTCCCCCTCTGCTCCTCCAGGAACACATTCCATCATATGAACAGGCAAACATAACCTGGAATTATCCAGGTATGTCTCCATTTCAGTCTCAGTTTGTTGTTTTTTAAGACCTGGGCTGTAAAAATCTTGATGGCCATTATAGAGCAGGAAAGAGATAAGAAAAACTGTAAATGCTGCCATCTAATCTTCCCTCTAATGTGTGACATGCTGTGTGCAGGAAAAAAAATTGTTCAGTGCAGCTTTTCCCAAAAGATCTACAGATTTGTGCACCTGAATAGAAGTAAATTGCAAATACAGGGGAAAGCGTCCTGTTCAAATTGTTTAAGAATGGAAACTTGAAAGTATAATAGTATGTTACATACAAGCCTGCAGATTATAATATAAACTCATTAGTCTCTGATAATTGATACTTGCAATCGTTATTTTGTGAGCATTTCAAATTGTTTCTTTTTTCCTTTTTGGAATTTGATACTGCAATGAAAGAAAAAAGAAAGGACTTATACAAAGGAATTAACACAAAAAAACTTTTAGATAGCCCCTTCTCTTTCATTTATTTCCCATTCTTTCCGTCTTCTGAACTTATTTAAATTTCAATTATTAATTTTAACAGTGATTTTTTTTTTATAGGATCAGCAATGAACATGGACCTTGCGTGGCCCAAACTCATTCATTTATTAATATCTTTTTAAGAAACAGGCTGGCCAAGGAGATTTTTAGGAAGCCTCTTCTCAGTGCAGAGGAGCGAGCAATAGTCAGGCAAGTCCTGGCTCAGTACTCGGAGACCATAAGAGTCTTGATGACCCTAACAGTGGTTGTAGGTAGTCAGGAGAGCTGACATATTTGACTCTGGATGAAATAATAGACAGAATTGATTTTGGGGTAGTGCTTCCTCCTGGACTTGCAGCTTATATAGCAGGGTAGGGTAGGGTAGGGTAGGGTAGGGTAGGCTAGGGTAGAATAGAATAGAATAGAATAGAATAGAATAGAATAGAATAGAATA